TACCATACCGTTACAAGCAATAGTGGTCGCTAATGACCTAGAAGTTGATGCGATCTTAAATAACAAAATAAAATAATAGAAAGTTAGTAAGAATTGCTTTTCTGAATAGATATCACCGGCTTACAGTGCCAAAACCTGCATGCGCCTCACCCTTGGGAGCACGGCTGATCCATCAAACAACCATCTTGAAAACCGTGAAGTCTGTAAGGAGACAAGTTCGGTGGTGGGGGAATGTAACAAAAGCGTCCGCACCTAATCAGCCACACTTGACCTTCAGCAACATCACGCGATGGATGAAGGAATCTATCAGGCTTTAATTCGGAAATTGGCACTCAAGCGCATGTGTCATGTCAACGCAATCTTCTAAAACTTACCCACACTAATTTGTAGGTGGCGTTGATCAAGTATGTGTGCGCGCGTCATTATTGACCGAAAAAGCCCTGATAAGTACCTTCATTCACTACGTAATGTCGCTGAAGCTTAAGTGTGTCCAATTAGCTGTCGTCGTTTTTCGTACATCCCCCCACCAATGGAGTTGAGTCTTCTCCTTACAGACTTCTTGGATGCAATACAAATTTCAATATGTTTCGAAATATCATTTGATTCAGTAAAAAAACAGAAAGCAATAAAGTTTTGTATGTATTATGGGCATTTCCTGGTGGTTTTGCCCCTTAAACAATAGTCAACCTCTCGGACCTGTGACTCTTGGAGTTGGAAGTCACCCTTGTGGCAAAAAACATACATTACGCCCTAATTTATAAATAATTACTATCGGTCGCGCAGTGGTACAAATTCGACCGCAACTCATTAAATTTGTAATTTTTAATGCTATTAAAGTTATTTTGTCAAAGAGTACGTATAATATATAATATATATTTTTTAAATTTAGTTAATTACGTCATCTGGGAGCGTATATAAAATGTCATTAACGTGGGTTAAATCCTTAATTCCCTGCAATACCTATGAAATACCTATGAAATATGAAAACAAATTTTCAACGCGAAATGTTATGTTGAGTGAAAAATAACATAACTACGAACATTTGTAAAAACTAATATAATTCAGGGCGAAAATTATTATTACACTAATTATTACATCTATTAATTAAGTGACTTTCACGCATTCATAGGTATATATGGAATGGAGTATTTTTTTCTCTTCAACACTAATCTAGGAATGAAACTTTTAAACACGATTAATTTTGTTGATTAGGAAGTTTGAAACAAAATGCATGCCCCCTAAATACAAAGAACTTGTTTTAAGGATCTAAAACGCATCATTTCCGAGTTTTGTGTGATGTACGATAGTAGTGAGTTGAAGTGTTCGGCGAGTTGCAGCTGCGCGTAATATTATTTAAATTAATATATTTGTAGTACATATTGTATCGAAGCTTTATCTTTCTGCTCTCCTTCTTTATACAAACGTAAACTATGCCAAATCTGTCTCTCCTTTTTCCGTGCATTATTTTTAAAATGAGGTACAAAGTTTTGTATTCACATATTGTTCTTATATACGCATTAAAAAGAACCTCAAGTCTAAAAGAAGCATCTGAGCTAAATTCAAAATCGCATTTTCGTCGCCTAGTAAAACCTTCTTTCTCTGCTAGATGATAAAAGGATCGTAACGACATTTTCGTGTTGAGACAGAAGAGTGGGCCTGATACCCCGAGTCTCGCCATGTAAAATATTGCATTAACAAACTATCTCTGCTATATATTCTGATATGCAGATTGTAAATAACTTCCCTTTTTAAAAAATCCTTAAGGTCGCGTTTTAATTACTAGGTCATGTAGCGACCACTTCGATTGGTTACAATGGAGTAACTCTAGAGGAAGACGTCACGCATGGACAACCTACGCACACACAAGCATCCATGCCATTCGAACCCGCGACCCTTCCCTATAGCCTTGGTGACATCGGCTATCCAGGACGGCAACTTCACCTTTATTTAATGGACTAGCAAAATATGCCTTGCCCGTTTTTTTCGTATTCAATCCTTGAGAAAACGAAAAGGCCTCCGTGTCTCTCTCGATGTGTCTCTCCGTTTCTTTGTCTCTCACTCCCTCTCCTTCCGTCTCTCTGTTTCTCTTTCTGTGTCTCTGCCTCTGTCAATCTCTGTCTGCGCGCCCATCAGGTTTTCCTGGGCCGCGCCCTGCGTCACACGATAACGCTCAGTTACACGACAACGCATCAATAAAGCTCATATGGATCGGAATTTGAATGGAAATTGAATTAAAAGTAAGCGCAATTTGGTTCTGCAGCGCCACATATTAGCGATACATCAAAATTAACAGCAAATAAACCTCGGGGAAAAAACACGTAGTGTTCCAACTTTCTTAGAGATCGCGTACACGGTGACGGAGTTTACCGCTTTTAAACATACAACATCCATTTTTTATATAATTATGTGGGTGCGCATGCGCAGTGGCCCTGCTGAAGGACCTGCTGCGCGGGCCGCTGCAGCAGGTGGTGGTGCCGGCCATGAGCTCGCCCGCCACGCGGGGCCTCATCGACGACCAGATCATCGCGCAGCTGGAGCGGCTGCGCGTGGTGATGAAGGAGGGCAGCGAGGCGCTGGGCGTGCCCGTGCTCGACCCCCTGCACGTCAACCACGTCGAGGCGCACACTCACCAGAGCCTCATCGAGTGAGTACACATCGAGTGACTCCAACAGACAAAATTCAACAAAATGACTGGTTGGAGTGATAAGGTTCTATTTGACTTCTTCTGTAATTTGTGGGCAAATACTTAAGGGTAAAAATAACTACCGTAGGTGGAATGTTGTCTAAGAACGTGATTTTGATGAACTGAAACATCGCCAGAAATGACCAATAAAATGCTCTTAAAGTGTTTTTAAAATACCCTAAAAACAAAGAAAAATGACGTATAATGTTATCAAAACCAGTCAGGATGAACAACACAAGCTGTTGGATACGTCGCTGATGTAATCGAGGCTTCTTCTATTCGTGCAAGTAAACTCAGCTTTCCAACTTTTGATATTGACTGTTCTTTACCATGGAATGTCTGTCTTTAGTTATCCCGAAATCAGCTGAACCCACAATAGCGTTAATAAGCGCCAAATAAACCTGAGATTACATACAACGGCTGACATTATAATTTCAAAGCAAAGAAATCAAATAAGCTATTCAGGAATTCTGTGGAGATCATTTGTTGTATCTCGTAAATATTATTTGAATAAAATACTATAAAAATTATATTAAAATAGATTAAATCAGCGAAAAATGATTTACGGGAAAAAGTAAAAAAATGACTTTACTCGAAAACTGCAGAAAAAAATATACACAAATAGGTCATGTCCTTTGTCATAACATAAAAATAATGTCTATATTAGAAACATTGTTCTAAAGTGAAAAAAATGGCATTGCAGTAAAATCCGCCCCCTAGAGATGAAATAAAACTTTTACACCAATTCACTGAAATGTTAGTTGGAACTTCGTCATTCAAAATGGTCGTTGTTCCGAATTTACCGCAATCTACGAGGGGTGTTAATAAAAGACTGAACTTTTGCTGTAAAATCTATACTTCTAATTTTACATTTTAAACACTGTCCCTCTCAAAGCAATCCCCTCTCCTCGCAATGCACCGATTACGTTCCTTCCATTGTTGGAAGACCTCCTAGAACACAATTTATGCGATGTCAGGACTGTCAATCTTCCCTTTGGTTTGGAAACGTCATTTGAAAGTGGTGTAAAGTTTGAGAAACTTTGGCGCAAAAGTTTCCGGAGGCTAGATCCGGAGAATAGAGTGGATGTAATGAGACAAAACAACAGCTAATAGGCGCCAAAGGAACCTGAGATTACATACAACGGCTGACATAATTTCTGAACGAAGAAATCAAGCAGGCTAATTAGGAATTCTGTGGAGAACATTTGTTACATTAGTAAATATCACTTGAAGCAAGTACTATTAAAATTAAATTAAAATCGATAAGTAAGCGAAAAATGCTTTACGGGAAAAGGTAAAAAATGCCTGTTTTGCGTGATAACAGCGGATGAGGATTGCGCGAAAGCTGGCGCGTCATCCTGCTGCGCCCGCCGTTTCAGGTTTCCCACAATTCAGGCCTCTCCCTTCTCGCCGCATTTCTCAACGCTCTCAAATACCCTCCTATCACTGCACTTGTTTACCGTCTGCCCACGTGGTACAAAGTCATGAATGACAACGCCTTTCCTATCAAAAACATTACCAAAATAATCTTGTCCTGTGACCATCTCATGTGTGTTTTTGTTTTGAACGAGAAAGACGTTTCCCCACCCACTGAGACGATTGTATTGTCACTTCACACCCACAAACTCATTTTATGACATTAAGTTTCATCTCATTTTATGACATTAAGGAGAATTTAATTGCCATTTGCAGTGGCAATCAGATCCTGATTAATTTCAACACTTTTCTCTTTCTGATCGTCAGCCAACAAACGCGACACGAATTTTGCTCTGACGCGATACATCTGACGATTATCAGATAAAATTTGTTTACATAACTCTGTGCTGACACCAACTTCGTTAGCAACTTCTCGAACAGGTGACAATTTTCACGAAGAATGATTCGAACGCTTTCGACATTGGCGTAGTCAACGCCTTCGAATTATTCTGAGTAATGCTTTCGTTCGCTAAAATATATGTTACTCATGGCATTCTATTTATTTTCGACCTTTAGAGATTCATCTTTTTTTGTCATTTCGACAATTTATTCCCAAACCACTAACTTCTAAGTAATCACTAAGGAGATTGTCACAATTATGTCATAATTCTAAATTATTAAAAAACTGACTGACCAAACTTTTTATCCGAACTATATCAAAGTTAAAATTCATTAATTGGCAAAACAAGTTGTGAATTCCGATTGAAAATAAAATTGTGTCCGTATTTTTTTTTGTTTCTCTACACTTCTCATGCTCTTACACAATTCTACGTGTCTACTGAAAATAAAATGGAAGCATTCACTTAAATTAACAGTAGAAAAACATATTACTTGGAAAAACCGCTTCACCATATTTTTAAAACTTTCTTTTGGATTAAGTGAATGAGACTGTACTGTTTCTGAGTCAATTGTGAAATATTCGCAGCTTCGACGGTAGTCTGGACGACTTCGTCATTCAGGGTCTCTCTGACTTCATCATCGACAACATCAAGTTCAGCACCATCCTGCTCACCTTCAACTTCGGCTTCACCATGCCCAAGGTGTCCGTCACCGGCAAGTACGATCTGGACTCCATCTTGGGCAACCTGCTGCCCATCTATGGCGAAGGCCCCTTCAAGTGAGTCGACGTCTTCAGTGTTGTTGAAAGGACGAAGAGAAACATAGCTTTATGTCACCTTTTAAAATGATTCATGAGGGTAAACACCATAACAAAATTGTTTTGTAAATTGTTACTGCAGGTTTCTGGTTCTAAAAGTTTTTTAAAAAGTTCGGATAAGATATAAAAGGAAAACCTAATAGTTTTCCTGAATGGATATGCCATTCGTACATTTAAATGTACTAAGATAAATTAATCCCTCCTTAATTATTTTCAACAACCAAAAGTTTAAATGTATTTAAATATGACACACAGATCTTCAGTAGTTAGGTATTTGTGACGAGAATTATCCATAGAAACAAAGCACTACTCTCCTTAATTAACATTAAGCAGACATATTGTTTTCCGAAACCACTGACTAACGATTGGTTTTAGATAACTTTCGACATAAACTATTTAGCATTCAGAGGTCATCATGAGAATATAAAATCTATAAATAAACCTTACGCATGAATTTTATTTCGAAGATTTTGACATAATATGATTTCTTATATACACAATCCGTCTGTTCTGTATTTGTTACATTATCGACATAGAATTAAAGTAAAAGCTATTGCGAAAACAAAAACAACAGTCAATTCAAAAAAAAAATATTAATTAAATTTGAATGTTTTCATCCATTTTTTATGAATCGTTATTATAAAGTACCTTCTACACTAGTTATCAGGGGTCATATCAGTATTGCAATTGTAGAAAGAATTTCTTAATAACTTTCAGTGAAACTCTTTATAAATTACGTAGATTTGTTGTTCAATTCAAAACTATTTGTTCAGAAACGCACCGCTTTTGCGACGTGCATTTGAAATTATTTCTTGTATTGCAGGGTTGATATTGGCGACGTGGTGGTCTCTGGCAAAGCTAAGCTGGCCCTGAAGAACATTGTGAACATCTACGTGAAGAGCCTGACCCTGAATTTCTCTGTTGGCGAATACCACGTAAGTAGCAATGTGTCATGTTTTGTAAAGTTAATTTTTTTGGACATTACAAGCGGGTACTCACGTCTTACAAAATTTTGGGTATCAAAATTGATCAATTTGAGTTAAAAATACATTTAAAATATCCTCGGCCAAATACAGTCTCCACGATAATCATGATGTATTATCTCCTACGATCAACTCAAAGAATGGAAATTGCTATATGAAGAAAGTAACTACTAGAGCTACGAATTGATTAGAAGATTAGAGGATTTAGAACAAGTAAAATAATCAAATTTTTCATCCTATGGATTGAAAATAAGAAACTTATACAGCAAACCATGAAAGTGTCCAAGCTACAAAAACAATTTCAAACACCGACACTTTGAAAATCAGAGAATATATTATTTCTAAGTGTAGAATATGAAGCTTATGGTCATAACTCACAAGTATCAGTCGTAATCAATAATTGGAAAAAACAAAACGAACAACTTTCTGTCGTGATTCATTTACTCAAGCAGCGTTACGGGCGAAGACTTATAATATTATGATACAAATTGTTTTTAAATACATTTTTATTATACATACTAACATAAATACATTTAAATTACATTTTTCATGTATCTTATAATGTAAAGCATGTAAGTTTAGGTACTAGAGCTCGGGTGCCCTTGATTATGGAGTAACGTTTCTAATGTGTGAACAGAGCGACATCGATGGCATGCTGGGAGGCGGTGACCTCAGCGATCTGCTGAACGAGGTCATCAACGACCTCGTGCCTGAGATCATTGACGCCAACGCCGACCTCTTCGCCGACGTCCTCGCGGAGCAAATCGTCGTTATCGCCAACACCATCCTCGGCGAAATGACCCTGCAAGATCTGCTCGACCTCATTGCGGGAGGAAGTTCCTAAATTCCTCTATTTTCCACTTTCTGGCTTCTTAATATTGTAAATAAATTTTTGTAATTCTTGTATATTCTTTTTATATTCCTCGTGTATCATTATACTGGAAATGATATAACGCCTCACATGTTCCACATTCTTTCTTCAATATATAACACTTCAATACCTTTCGTTACAGAAGAGCACTAGGAAACTTGCCCTCCAGTGCAAAACATACTCCAAGAAAAGTCTAAAAGATGACTTCACAATAAAATGCTCAAAGACCTTACCGAGTTATTTTTTGGGAGATTTCCTTGACGTGGCATCTGTATTACAAGTATTGAGAGCTTACCAAAAATAATACACACTGCACTTTTTAGGGACATTCATTTCAATAAATGTCTTTGAAAAGCGACTATCGGAGCAAATAATACTAGTGGTGGCTCCTCGGGTGAAGACAGTGAACGTCCACTTCATTGTTAATAATTTTTTTAAAGTGCCAAATTAAACGTATACTAAATGTTTTGTTTTTGACAGGTAATGAATGGATAATGCATATACGATTACGATATACTATTTTTATTCTTTTTTGTGGCGAGTTATTTAATATCATTCAAACTTAAAGAACCCGATTCTAGATCACCTTCGCTTATCTCCTGATGCAGATTATGCTCTGGAAGATCAGTCTTCATAGACGAATTTAATCTTACTCAACCGATGCACTTTGAAAAATCTCAGAATGTGCCTTTAAATTTTCATTTATTTTTAGAATCGTAGAGAAGGAAGGGTCAGATAAATTGATGAGTTTGAAAAATAATGCTTCACACGTATTTAATTACTTCTGCTACTGTAATTTGATATAACATGAGTACATAAAAGTCTATTTAATCTCCTGGAATCAGAGTCTAAAACAGGATGATTAAATGTTTAATTCAAAACCAAATGATTGCAAATGGTGCAACGCGAGTCTGCAACTTCGATTTTTGAAATTAATTCAACAATAGTACAGACATCTCATTTGTTACACACGTTGCACTTCATTTCACACACACTTTACATAGAGATAAAGAAAGTTATACACTTAGAAAAATATTTTTTTTGATTCTTCTAATTACTTGACGAATACATTTGTATTGAAAATCCAAATAATAACTGCATTAACAATGTCTTGGCGTAATATTAGAGATGCCTCGAAATTATCAAAGGTAGACAATAAAAACGGTACTCGCTTAAAAATTGTATGCAATAATTAAAAATATACTATTTCTCTCCTCTTCTGAAGGCACGTAAGTTGTATTTCTCTTTGTTACTAAGGAAGTTTTGCAGAAGAAAACATTTTAAATATGCATGTACATTTCATTTCCATTATTAAAATTACTCCTTTTCCTACTAGACACAAGTCAAAACAATAGTTATAAATTTAAGAATACTGTAGGTAAAAGGATAGCAACATATCAAACGAGTGGTGCTACAACAGCACCTACTCACAATCTATTGGTTTATCCACATAACACAGAAATTTGCGGCGCAAATCAGTTGTAGTGAAGACGGGTTGGGTTGGGATGCGTTCTTGTGGACTGTTTCCTGAAGGTGACATATCCTTACACACATTCACTACAGAAACTACTATTTAGGTTAATGCAGTCTCATAAGGAAAAAATCGTTGCGGCTGAATAAAATCGCACTTGGAAACACTTACCAGAAGTCGAATACACACAGACGAGCGATGACAACGCACTCATCGAGGGCAGACACACGACGTTCGGGATAAATGTTTTCGTGGCGCCAATCTGCGCTTTACGCCGACAACATTGGAGAGCCAAAATGAAGTCTACCTTGCAAAAGGTGAGGTAGTAACAGAGCTACGATATTTTAAAATTTTACCAAATTTTCCTTTTTATTCTGAAGTTATCCAAAATTACTAATGGTCTTTCTAATGTAGTATTTTCGAATTCATAAGATCATTATAAATAAAAGGCGATTAAATACTAAAGTTCTAATACTTACTGATGTAAAACTCGCGTTTGCAAGTTCTGGTAAAAGTGACTGTAAGCCTATACGTTCTAACAAATGACACGATTTAATTACATCAAAAGTATTTCAATATAATAAAATGACGTGCGTTATTTTCTTCTTCAAATTATTATTATTATTATTATTATTATTATTATTATTATTATTATTATTATT